CTCTCTTCCAAGTTTTCTGCTCTTGTTGGTATGAATTTTTGATGACCACCAAACAAATAACGAGATAATATTTTTCAAATTCAAAATTATTGCTCCACAAGCCACACTGTGAATTTCCTACAACTTTGCCAATTTTCCTGGTCTACGTTCCACGTAGAGGGCGGACAATTGCTAAGATTTCGGTCTGTTTTATAGCAAAATCCTTGCACGCATTTAGTTGAAAATGCCTAATTCGGTGAATTTGGCGCCTCTCTGGCTTCAGTCTTAAGCCTCCATTGTTTTCGCCCCCGAGGTGAGTTTATATCTTGCCTCAACGGCGGGAAAGCACCGTGCCATTGAATATTAATAAGAGAGCATACGGAGGCGCTCATTTGGGATTCTCTCATTTCGTTGGTAACCTGCAAGGCGTAGGTGTGTTTTCTCAATTCGGTGATTTGTGTACTGGGCCAGGCAGCTGGTGAACTGCCCATTTAATTGTACTAATCGCATTCACTTCCTGTGCATAAACTTTTAATCAGCGACAATATTTTCACGAGAACCTGGCACAACCATTGCGCGCAAAGTGGCTGAAAGAGCAAAGAGACAGGACGACAGAATATATACACCCAACTTTGTTGAACTTTAAAATATTTCACATAATTTTATCGCACAGTTAAAATTGGAATTCTCTCCATACCTTTTTGCAAAATTGTACGGAGCGCACCGTCTTAATAAATTCATAGAACAATTTTTGGCGTGAGAGAAAAACTTTCCCAGCATGGCAATAATTTAATCTGCTATTGCAAAGTGTTGCTCTCGTTGATATATAATTTTTGGCACAAGTTAAGACTTGTGAGATTGTGTGGCAAACAATACTGTCCCATCAGGGATAAAAATATCTGGACAGCTTCATCTCAAACACACCGAGGGGTTGATATATTTTGGGGATGAAAACATTGGAAATCACAACACTCGTCAAACTCTAGTCTGAACTGTTTACATTTCGGTATCTGAAAATGGATATGTAGAAAGCGAACCCACGCCCGATGTATCGTCGAGAACACAAATATTCCATCTCTCCTGGCAAAACTGATAAGTTATTAATAATGATTGTTTTGGCAATTGCTCTTAGGGGAGAAATTTCCATCAGAGATCAATATTGTGTGAAAATTTAACATTTCTCCCCAGAGAGAATCTTTGGTAGAACGGTAAAGAGGGAAGAAAGAACTCTTCCGCAAACTTCAAAAGTTGCTCAGCAAGTTCTTTCAACAGAAAAGATTTTTAAAAGATTAAACTCACGAAAAAGACATACAAACATAAAATATCCTTTATACATATTCCAACATTGCTCAATTGAGTTTGAGAACCAAAGCCAAGTTCCACATTGGATTCAATTCTGCGTCGCGACGTCATAGCCGCCATAAAAAGGGAAGAGTTGGAACTGAAAAGTATTTTCTGTCACTGCTTTTCCACCAAGATTCGCTGTTCTTCGGTGTTGGCAAACTCTCAACATAGTCGGAGAAAATCATAACGTATCCACAAATAATATCGTGGGCATTTCGTGCCTCTGAGACGTGTTTATTAGCTGATTACTTGATTGCGTGTAGCGTCCGGTAAGATATTCCTTTATCATTCCAGCCAGAAGGCGAAATATCCCCGAACAATCGACCCGTCCACCATTTTTAACCAATATAGTTCCAAGCACGAAAACTGATTTAATTCAGTCACGACAAAATTGATTTTCTCACTTCGGAGAGCCCTTTGCAAAAGGTGGCCACAAGAGGAGCTGAGCCTTCATGGGGATGTATTTTTAAATAAATACCACAATATAAATAGATTTTAACCCTTTCTTGACTTTGGACAATTCCTTCGTATAAATTTACTTCGCATTCTATCAATCCTGTTTCTTCCTTGTGTTCTGAAGAGATAAATGAACATGTAGAGTCTTAACATTTGAGCAATTCCACTGTCATCTTGTGTCTTTTCATGTTAAATTCATCCACACTACTTTCAGCAAGTTTGCAGAAACGTCATTATTATCTCTCTTAGCTTCTCTAATTAAACTTTTCGACACGTATTTGTACTGTGTGCACCTGAAAACACATTTAGTCTGTAGTCTAATGAATGTTTCTAAAATTCACATGCTTTCCCACACTAAAGCTCTCAGCGTCATTTTGCTAATTGAGGTTTGAGCAACCCAAGAATGCGTGTGCACCCTTTTTTCCCGGTCGAGTGGCACAGAAGTGATGAATGATGAGACAGTGGTGCCGCAATGTTCTCCACTCGGAAGCTCATCCCGATGTTGGCTGTGGATCACCATTCGCTTTTTGTGCTCACGTGTGTGTGGTGAATTTCCAGAGGAAATAATAATTGGAGATTCGCATGCGTCACGTAGGCGGGAGAGGAGCTGAGGAGAGCCAACCTCTCGTGTGCCATAATATAGATTTCCGTCATAAAAAATACATCCCTTGACCGACAAACAACCACCGAAGCCATCGCGGCAAATTTGAAATTATTATTCTGTGGGGAAAATATGAGTCGGTTTGGCCGCATCATCGTCATTTTCATCAGTTTCATTGTCATGAAGGGGGGATCCAGAGCGAAATGGGGTTTTGTGTGTGTTGGTGTGTGTGTGTGTGGAGCTGTAAAAACGGATATTCTTTCGGTATTTGGGGCGAGCTTTCAGCCGTGGGCTATGAATTTGAGTATATATTGATTGAATTTTACTACGCGATGTTGAGGAACTTTTGCCTCATTTCACGCAAAAATGATGCACAGCTCTGAAGTGTACATAAAATGAACTCCATTCCGATTGAATTTCAAGTTGATTGATGTTGAGAAGGAAGAAAGGGAGCTTCGAGTCTTTGAAAATATTTATGTAATCCAGAGATGTTTAATATTTCAAATGGGTGTTCATATCATATAGCACAGCAAAGTGTTTTCACGTGAATTGTGTCGCCTATTGATCTTTCTGTCTCACGTCAGGCGATTAGCAAATAAACTGAGTGCATTTGCCAGATCTTGCTCACATGTGAATACACTAGCAAGACCAGAGATACTGGACAATCTCTTGGGAGCGAAATGCCCTCTCTTGCTATCTCGGAAGTACCAGCTCGGCACTGTTCAAGAGGAAACGATAATTGCCGGGGTGCGGGGGTGGTCAAGAGGGATTCAATGGGTGGCAGAGGTCGGTCTGTATAATTCTGCTGTTTGTATCCTGTCCACCCCATCTTCATCATTTCGGCCTCCCCTTAAACATATCTTGACTCCCATGGCCAAGATCACTAAGTCACTACAATTTCCCGCTTTCCTGCAACATCCGCAGAGATGGTGCACAATTGTGGGTATGTGAGTGAGAGGGTGGAATATGGAAATGTTACGAGTCTCTTTAGGAAAATATATGAATCTCCATGTAACACTGAAGACTGTTTGTTAACTGTTTGTACTCTTTCTTCGCCGATGTCTTCGCAGTGAAATGGGGGTGAATTTATTCTCTCTATTTATTTTTCCGCCTCCCCTTCCCTCTGCCAAGATCCCAGTGGCAGCTACACGACGGTGAATATCATGTGTCTTCTGTCTTCGCAAACTTCACCAATTTGGGTATTGAGATGCCATATTTTGCGAGAGAAAGCGAAGGATGTGTGTATACGCAAAAAATGTCAAATATAGAGCAGGTATTTTCTTTTTCGCTGCCAATCCACCTCAAAGGATTGTTGATTCAACCACACTTCCACGCCATGTATCGAGTGTGTGTGTGCGTGAATGCTCGACTCTTGGGTGGCTGGGCTGTGTAATAAAATATTTGTTAGTATGTTGTGAATTATGCATGACTGAGCCCCAAATTTAGGATGGGCTTTTTAGAGAATAAAGTTGCCTGAATGTCTTACATCTAATTTCGCCCACTTTTCGACCTTTTCCGCAGATCACATCGAGGGTGGCAGTCTCTCAAAGGGGACACTTTGGTGGGGGATTTTCAATTTTGCCCATCTACATTATATCTGAGGATTCAATCTCCGAAATACATGCCATCTTCGAGATGTCATGTATTATTAATTTCCCTTTGTTCTCCCAGTAAAACAGATTGTGTTGTGTAATGCAATGTAGAAAAATAATTAGAACAAGAGTCAAAAAGCACATTCGCTGGAGATGTAGAAAGTTTTTTCTCTGTATCAAATGTCAAATCCTGTTTGCTGTTATTAATTGAATTCGTCGGTCGATGAGGGTGGTTCTAAATATATTACCCAACCATCAACTTCACTAGCATAGCGTGATTTTCGTGCTTTCAGATGATGACTAATTACATTTTATTAAAATGTTTATTCGTCATGAACATGTACAATGGATAATTTTTCCTATAACGAATAATCATGGGGGGTTTATATTTGAATGCACACAGAGATTTATTGGTCATTACAGATTCAAATAGATTTTCCAATTATTGCTTTTCATTGTAGCTAATTTAATTGTATAGTTTTAAATTTCCGCCCACTTGCACACTTTTCCGTGTCATGCACAAAAATTTTCACGCTCCTCCTAAAAGGATTAAATGCATCATGAATGGGCGTGTGGGTGGATAATTGAGGGATAAAATTCAATTTGTGAAAATATGTAGGTCCTGGAAAGTGTAGCAGTGCAATTAGTTATTGTTGCATCGACTGACTGTTGGGTTGAGGATGAAAATAGGATTTCCTCTTTCTTTTGCGAGAAATTCGGTGTGAGAACATTTTAATGTGATTTACTTTCTCGTTTCACTGCAACGAATGTAATTATTCGTGTAATTTTTACTCCAAAGCCTCTCTCGCTCTCATCATGGAAGCTCATGCGGAATTTTTTTCTTGCCGGACTTTCCCATGTTTACTTCACAGCTCAATATTTACTCATTTCACTCCCGTTTGCTTTTCTAATGGAAATATATGCACATATATTATGCAGCGAAAGGAATTTTCGCTACATCAAGCACAGACTGATTAAAGTGGAGTTTTTTTTTCAAAAGCTAAGTTCTCTCTTTTGTGCACTTTCAGATTACGCACCCTTGCAGTGAGCCCTGAAAATTCAACTAGCGAGCTCACGCGTAAATCCACATCCTCCGGACAGATCCGAGGTATTAAATGACAATCACCTAACATCCTCCGCGCTTCCGACCAGACAGTAGACAAATGCGAAAGATGCCCGAGATTGGCCGGAAGGCGCTGACACGCCAAGGAGTTCTGGGCATCGCGTGCGTGCTGGCAATCCTGACCAACCATGCTCTCGGCGAGGCTGACTGGGGCCAGACTTGTGGCCCGTGCAGCTGCAAATGGGTGTCCGGCAAGAAGACGGCCGACTGCCGGAACGCATCGCTAAGCTTCGTGCCGAAGGAGCTGAGCAGTGAACTGCAGGTCCTGGACCTGTCGCAGAACATCATCCCCGAGATCAAGCGCGATGAGTTCAGCGATGCCAATCTGCAAAATGTGCACAAGCTGTTCATGCGCAATTGCACGCTGCAAGATGTACACAGGGACGCCCTGAGAGGGCTCATGATACTCATCGAGTTGGATCTGTCCAACAATGTTATTCGCACGCTGCCTGTTGGTGTCTTCAGTGGTCTGATAAAGCTGAGGACAATCCTGCTCAACAGCAATCAAATAGAGGTGCTGGAGGACAGGCTATTCGAGAACCTCAATTTCCTGTATCGCATCGAATTGAAGAACAACCACATCCGCACAATAGGACTCAATACCTTCGTGAATGTGCCAGTCCTGCTGCAGATCTATCTTGACAACAATCGCCTCAGCGTGCTGAAGAAGGAGTCCTTCGAGCGACTCGAGAAGCTCGCCAGCTTGTCCATTCTGCAGAATCCGTGGAACTGCACGTGTGAACTGCAGCCGTTCCGGGATTTCATCATTAGCCACAACCTGTTCACCAATCCCACTACGTGCCACGACCCGCCCCATTTGCGCGGAAAATCGTGGTCGGATGTGACTTCGGATAACTTTGCCTGTCGCCCTAGGATCATAATGCCTCGGGCGGGAGCGTCTCTGGACGCTGGCGGAGAGAATGTGACCCTGACGTGTAGAATCAGGGGATCGCCCAAGCCCGACATCATGTGGATCTTCAACAAGAAGCCCCTTAACAGCTACGACACACGATTACATGTCCGGAACTCCCTCGAGGCCAGCCACAGGGACAGCATGGACAACTACATTTCAGATCTCACGATTGTGGGCGTGCGGACAAGCGACAAGGGAACGTACACGTGCGTGGCGTCTAACAGGGGCGGCAAGGACGAGGCGAATATCGTCTTGGCCGTTCCCACGAGTCCCTTCGGCGGCGCTGGCTCCAGTTCGGGCCAGTTCTCAAAGCTCCTGCTCATAGTCTGCCTTATCACCATCGGTTTCCTTCTGTTGCTGCTCATTGTGGTGTTCCTCTTCTGCTGCTACTGTCGGCGCGTGAAGAAGTACAACAAGAATGGGTCCATCAGCGAAAATGGCCTCGTGGCCTCGAAAATTGACAAATCCCAGAACGAATCAATGCTCGAGGGCGGTTCGGTTATCATGGAGATGCAGAAGAGCCTCCTCACCGAGGTGAACCCCGTGGAGAAGCCCCCGCGGAGAGCGGACGTGGAGTCAAATGGTGCAATTGACACAGACGATGGACATGAAGTGAAGAAAACACTGCTGGACGAAACGGCCTTTGGTAAGTCGATCATTTGCCACATCAATGAGCTTTATTGGGAGCTTTTGTGTGTGCATGTTTTCTGTAGAGATGAACATTTTACGCCATATGAAAAGCTTAATTAAATCCAATTGAATGATAAATTACAATTACTACATTGCATTATAGGCATTCATGCTTCATTAAATACACATTATTGATTCTGGAAGTGTAATTTAAAAATTATGTCAGGTGTTGGATTAATTAAAATTTAATGTTTTTTGAGAGGGTTTCTTTGATGCTTGGGAATCAATTGGGGTTGAAATTGCACAGTTGTCAAACTGTTTAAACTTTTAATTAGTACATGCATAAATGTTTTCTGTGTTGAGGAGAATTTTTACGTAATGTAATCACATTCGTGTTTCCCTCCTGCGAGCTCAACCCACTCAATTCCCCGCCCCCTGAATTGCATTTCATCCTTTTGTGCTGTAGCATGAACTAAGCGAATTGTATTGCACGTGATTGTGAATTCTGTAGTTTGCTTGGTGGCTGCATTGTCTTATCTTAAGTCACTAGGCTTCTTGACTTGCCTTTCTCGATGTGTTCAGTGGAGATTAACCCTTGCCCTAAACACGATCTCTCTGTAGGCAGTCATGACGATGAGACACAGTCTGTTGCACTGTCCGACGCAACGCCACGCTCTCGGCAAACTTTTGTAGATGACGGCTACGGCACGAATCTGCCGCCGGACTTGTTGGCTTTTCCGGCGCACTTCTCGCAAACACCGTCGCTGCAGACGTCCATGAGCAATGTGCATGATGGGCGGCTGTACGGGAAGTCGCCGCTCTCGAGCCCCGTGTATCAGCCGACCAACCCAAGTGCCGGCATCTACGCCACCGGCTTCCGGACTCTGCAGCATCCCGTGAAGGGCGCCGCCAAGGTGGCCAACCACCGCGCCCAGTCGCCCTTCACGCCGGCGCCCATTCTGTACCAGCCCGTCGTGATGAAGCAGGGCTATGTGACCATCCCGCGGAAGCCAAGAACGCCCAGCTGGAGCGCCTCGGCCACATCATCGCCCACAACGACCACAACGGCGGAGTTTCCCGCCGTCGCGACGGCGGACGAGTTCTCGGAGCCGGTGTATGATAATCTGGGCCTGAGAACCACCGCGGCGGGGAACTCGGCGCTGAACCTGAACAAACTGGGCGTGAAGGCGGCGCAGAAGTACAGCATGAAGGACAGGCCGCTGCCCGCGACGCCAACCGCCACTCTCGGTCAGTACGAGCCGTTGGGACCGGCTCCGGAGTCGGAGCCCCCCTTCAAGGCGAAGCCCACGAAGATTCCACCCAGGCCCCCGCCGAAGCCGCCCAAGAAGAAGCTGTCGGTGACGAGCGTGGGCAGCACGAGTCAGCTGTTCGAGGACGAGGGTGAGGACGGCACAGAGGTTTAGTGGTGGGAGTTCAGACGGCTCCTGCCGTTGCTCACCGCCTAGGCTCGGCGTCCCGACAAACATCGTGTGATTTTACAATTTACTATCCGCAACTGTTAGTGTATGGGGTAAAAAAAATGAGTAATTTATGTAACGTGAGAACGCGAGTGCCAACTAGAGGAAAAAAACAGTTTTCAACAAAACAAAAAACAAAGAGATATTCTTTCGGGTGGGATAAATTTTGCATTTGATTGCAAATGTGTGTAAAAGTACCTATATTTTCGCCCGGAATACACAAAAAAAACATAACACACAATTGACCAACGACATGATTTATTGATTTTCAACAAGCGGAGCAAAAGTGATTGTTGAGACGGTTTTTAGCGGAACCAGGAGGTATGAATTAAATTTCAAATATTTATTGGAGAGAGGAAGATGTGTAAAAATGAGTGCCTTTCATCGTTCTCCCGTTGAAGCTGAACATGTAGTGAGTGTGGTAGATGCAGAGGTGTTTTCTTTTCTAAGAACAGAGAATGTAATTGTGCAGGAAAACCCGCCGAGAACAGGACATTTGTTTCCCAACGCTGAGCCAACTTCAGCCCAAATCTTTTGGCAGATTCTTACTTCTATCTTCCCAGAACAGTCATCCAAAAGAACTTCATCGAAGTGTATGATTTTGAACGTTTAGTTGAAAAAAAAAGAGAGAGAGAGAAAGCGCAGATTTGCTCAAAGTTTGTTAAGCACAAGAATGAAAAGTTCACCCGAAATTCTCTAGAATCAATCTAACACTTTGTTTTAAAAGTGTTTTTCCCACTAATTTTAAGGGATGAATTTATAGCAACTGCAAAATTGTAAATGTGAAGCGCGTGGGAATTCCATTACTTTCGACACTAAGAATAAAAAAAAACTCTTTCGAGACTGATTTGTCACTTTTTGGTATTAGAAGAAATACGTATAAATATGTACTCAACAAAATTATTATTCAAAAGTACTCAAAATTCATGTCACACTTGGTTTTTGTGCATCTCTTTTCTGAGTTCCTTAATTTTTTTCCCCTCTTAGGTTTTAAGCTACAACTCGGCATGGCATTGAAGAACTATTTAGTTATAAAACACATTCTTAATTCTATTTAAAAAAAAAACCTTCCAATCCTTAGTTTTGTGGGCGTAAAGCAAGTTAGAGGAAAACGTAGCTTTTTATAAAATGTGCAGAAGAAATTGAGACGATTTTATGAATATAGAAATGAAAAACTAGGAATATTTAAATTTTTAGCAACTTTTTATGTCTTATTTTATAATAATCTGGACTACAGTGCGTACAATGAATCCAGTAATTTTTAGGTTTTTTATTCGCTGTATTTTAACACTATCTTTTAAGTGCATTTCTAGGCGGACCAGTTTGACCATTGAACCACATGTGAAAAATCTCACAAGAAATAACATTTTCTTTCTAAATAATCCTGACTTCCATTAAATAGACCTAGAATTGTTGTGTTACAGGTAGTGAAGAAAAGAGAAAATCTTGAAATATTGCATAGCATAAATAAGCATGTTTGTTTTAAAAGAATAAAGAATACAAGAAATAAGAGACTTTAGTTTTGTAATTAATCATTAATAAATTGTACAGTTGAAAACGAATATTCAAGTTCTTATAAACAATAAATAAAGAGTAAATGTGCTTTTTTATACCTGATGAATTAGTTTAAAAAAAAATAACACCATCAGCAAAAGTTTAGCAAAAGAAAAAAAAAAACTCCTCTACTTGAACAGTAAACTGACAAAATTTGTTTTCCCCAATTTATTCTTCATTTTCCGGTGATAAAAGGAAACAAACTCTTTGAAAATATTGTAAATAGAGCGCAAAAGAGCAACAATTTACTGTGAATCAGATGAAATATTTGCTATATACCCTAATAAGAATAATGAAATAATCTATATTATAATGAAAAATAAATGAGAACATAATTAATAGGTGAAATTTAAAGAAGACATAAATGATATATAAAACTTGCCAACCTCCATAATATATTTACGAGAAAAAAAATATAACTGTAAAATATTATGTTACATAAATTATTCGAATAAACGAAAAATTGAGAAGAGGATATAATTAAATACTTCGATTTTTCATTCTCCCTCCAACTTTAATAAATCCATACTGAAATAAACTCCCACTCAATTGTTGTCTGGCAGCGAAATTTTACGTGATATCGAACATCGGACTTTTTTTTCACAAATAATTTGATTTGTATAAAATTTCTCTCTGGAGACAGATTTTTCCAATTCAGTAATAAAATAAAATACAGTAATGAATTGTGTTGCTTTCATTCTCATTAAACACATACTAGGAGCGACATTTTTAAGAGAAATTCGTACTTATCAAAGGTGAGTTCATCATAGGGAAATGTCTGGATATTAATTTTAATAATCCTTCTGTTTCTATGCAAATGAGCAAAACCATCATATTTTAATTGCGCCTCTTTGCTGGGGTAACGAGGCCTCCTTTCCTGCCCTGTTGCTCTCCACATGTCCTTGTTGTTGTCACGTGAATAAATTACCTGACAGAGCGCTCCTTGAATCCATCTGTGTATCCACTTTTTCAGGATGGCGCCTCGCCCTCACCTGCTCTCGACTCACACCCGCCATGAATTTATCCTCCGTGTAATTCTAGTGTGCAATATATCAAGGTGCGATGTCGAGGGCCTCTCGGAGTCACTCTCTCAGCTCAGACCATTGAATGAACTATGCACAGGAGACGAAGTGAATCAGGTCGTTCGATGGGTGGCAGTTTGGTGGAGATGATCAGTTTTCTGGGGCGGGAGAAGCGCAAATTGAAGTACATTCTGGTCTGATTCGCAGTTCAGTTGCGGGTTCTGCAACAAAATACCCAATTTTTGATGTGAAACTTGAGCTAATGGTGAAAAATTTCAGCATCAATTATAATTACCGATGATATCCACGGAGTTTCGTAAGTACACAAAATTCGATCGTCAATGAATATTACAATCAATTTTGTTGCACACTCTTCGGCAAACCTTTACAATATACAAGTGCTAGAGCAATTTCACCTTTGAAATTTCGCCACTGTTCATTTTATGCTCGGCAATTCATGCAGCATACAAGAGTCATTCACAATGTTTAGTGAAGAGTAAAGATGCGACAGGGGAAAATGAAAATGGATTGGAATTGAACATAAATGGGTCAAAGTCAATTTATTTTCATTTGCCAGGCGTCATCGTTTCAGGTGATGTTCGGAGAATTCACCATCCGCACCACTTCATAATCACAGCTTTGCGAGTTCAAACAACATCCGTTGTAGCACATATCCGTTAATTTTCATCCCCAATTTCACATGAGGGAAATTTGCTTTCGTGACCTGCAATCGACCTGGAGATTTTCCCATCAACACAACCAAATTGAACTGAATAATTCGGAGATTTCACTTGAATAAACGCTGGGTTTAATTTGTTGGGCATTCGATAACATAATAAAAAATTAATCTGTGGCTGTGAAACCCTGCCAGTCTGGGAAAATCTTTAAATTCCTCAACCACGTCTTGTCGTTGTTGAAATTTATGACCACGTCGGCTGGGGAAATTACACAACGCACCATAAGGAAGAATATTGCCGAGGGCGTTAATATTTTATGGAGATTCCCTGACGATTTTCCTCACTTTTTTCCACCAGCAGACTCAAGGGGGAGAGAAAGAGAGAGAGAGAGCTTCTGGGCAGGCGAAGGAATAGCCAGAAGAAAAACTTTTCAATGATAGCAAAAGTTTGTAAATTGAGACTCTCCGCGTGTAATTATTTCGAATAGCAGAGGAATGTTATTTGGTTCCGGATTCTCTAATTTTTAAGGGTACTTCCAAACTCATTTTTTCGCATTTTGCCTTTCCTTTTCATAATTGAATTAATGGGCAATCCAGATTTTTTAACCTCGGCATTCTTATCCCTAATTTCACCCATGCTTTCGCCTTAGAAATCTCTTTAGGCGGCAGTAATTTGGGAGTATTTAAATGCTCTCTGGGCGAGATAAAAGTCCGCTGAAAGGTCTCGTGGGCAAAGTGCGGCCAAATAATTGGCTCTGTGATAAATTATTTCGTGCTATGACAAATCCACCACAATATATTCTAATAATATACTATTAGTCTCTCCAAGGCCTTGTTATGGTCGAGCAGGACTGCTCACTTGTGTCCTTTTACTGTCACTCCCAATGCTTGTTATCCCACTTCACCATTTCGCAATGGCAAATGTATGATGGCTGCATGAATTCCATCGGGAGAATTTTGGTCTGAACTCCCATCCCAAGAAGCATAAAGATTTAGAGAAGATGCTGAGTTTAAATCATCCCGTGAGAGAAATTTCTTCCTTCGATCCACACAATATTATCAAGCGATTCTCCTCAACGGAAAACAATTCAGATTGTTCTGCTTGAACGAATCATATTCCCATTATTTTCGAAAACATCTCACACTCGGTGCTGCTGATCCTATAAACTTGAATGTCAGAAAATGTGAGTAGGGACAATGTCACTTGCCATTCCACCGAAAAAGAACGGATTTTTTTCACGCAATGCTCATCTGAATATACCTCGATTGGATCCATTCCTGGAAAAACGATTTAATCAGTCAAATGAAGTTTCTTATCTTAAAACATGAGCATTCTTAATTTGAGTGGTTCAATTGGAATAAACTAATTGGACTACACTTTTCACTTAACAATTAATTTCTGCACATAAATATTCCATGATGTTTTTATTAAATATTCGAAACATCATATGAACTTTCATATTATCTTCAGCGAGCCAATAACACGAATAACACTCATTTCATAATTATATTTAGCAATTTAATTCAATATTTAATTATGATGACTGACATTTTCAAAAAAACAAACAAATGTAAGTTAATTAAATAAAAACAAATTGATATTAATGAAAAATACCCAGCATTATAGTGATGACAACGCTTTTCAACCTGAATGTGATGCTGAGAAATTACATAATTCATGATGAAAGCATTATCTAACAAAATTATTAAGAACTGTTTTTTACGACGTTATTTTATGTGTGTATAAATCACAAATTATGTGTGTTTATATGAGTTTAGCATAATATTTACGAAAATTGCTACATATTTCAATGCATGCGTTTTAAATTTCATATCGCCGTCAGTGTCCGTAGGATCGATTCATGTTTCCCTGCTGAATGCTGGCATAAAATAACATAATCTTTATTCTACAGCGAGAATCATCCAGTCAAAATATGATTTTTCCTCGTGCCGCAGGGCTCCACAAATCCTTTAACAATTGCGTGGCCATGTGGTTAGCATATTTTTGCAGGGGAGAGAGAAGGGGGAACAACATCGCCGGGAGAGTCAATATAAATAAATACTGTGGGTTAAAGCCGATTATGACACTGAGAAGGGATAATGAAGTTATCCAAGATTACAAATGCGATGGACACACAGCACGTTAACCTCCCATCTTCTCTCACTAATCTGTTCCAATTCCATCCTCTGCGCCTTTCAGGGCCTTTTTTCCGCCTCTCCCATCTTTCGGGACGTGCGTGATCGGGCAAATATAGTCCAAGAATCCCTCTGCGTGCTTTCAGCTCCATTTCTCTCGTTTTTTTCTCCCTTCTGTGCACTTTTTGCTGTGTTTCTGCACGAATATATCCGCCGTTGGCCATGAAAGGGAGAATAATACTGTTGACAGGGTGGGCTAAATGGAAATCTCGGAGGTGTTATTTTAAGCATTTTCTCCACGGTGTCTCTCAGTATCGACGTGCCGCGCTGGCAAGTTGAGGAGCTTTAAGCTGATGGGTGTAATATTTTAAAGAGCATAAAACCCCCAGAGAATCGGGAATAATGTATCAGTTTGGGGAGAGACAAGTTTCCATCTAATTGAGTTTCTCTGGGCTAAAAACACACTTCAATTCTCATAATCATCAGCATAATTCCATTTGTCAACCGACAAGGAGTCCTCTTAGTTTGGAGGGGGCGGGAAATTAGTTATTGTTCGCATCCATCATACGGTTAAGGGCTCATCCTCCCAACCCCTATTATTACCAAAACTCATCCACACATCTCGGGCGGAGCATCAATTGTGTGAGGGTTTGTTTGAGAAATGACGGAGTGAATTATCGTTTTGTGAGTTTCTCACCGAAATGAAAATGGCAACAATAACCCACCCTCTCACTCCTGTTTCGCCGCGTGAAAGAAAATTACAGGGAAACGAAAAGCCTCACGGTGGCGCAAATCCGATTGTCAATGCGAGACAACATTTGTATTGATTTCTCGTCATGGAGTGTGTACATGGAAATTCTATATGGAGTGACACACTTTCGAGCACCGCGACCCGGAGCATTGAATTAAAACCATGGAGACATACTCAGGTTGCCACCTCTCTTGACAGAAGCCACCTGTAATGCTGGAGAGCTCTCAACTTTGGCCATTAACCATTGATGGTAAGAAACTTGCAATTTTCCAAATTCCCTTGGCGGAGAATTTAATGAAATTGATACTATAGCTGACTTTTTGTGATTAGTCCCCTCTTCAATCTTTTAAATACTCCGTCTGTACGTCTTTGAAAGTTTCTTCTGGAGTTTCCTGCTCATCCGCATCGATTTTGCTGCTAAATGGCAATGAAAGTAGAGCGTGTTGGTTAAATGAAATATCAATTATCTCCTGTTTCTCCAGATTTCATGCTTCTTCAATTTTTCATGAGACTCTGAGTGCATTGACAATTTATTCATGAATCACTTTTGTACCATAAGAATTGTGCTTAAGTGAGAGAGTGGAACTGCTGACAACTTTGGGTGCGTAAATTTGCGCAAGATCGCAGGAAGACGCTGTGAGAGCAATTTCAGGTGCATAATTCCTCTATTATTATGCAGAGAAATGAGGTCAATTTAATAAAATGAGTACTAGATATTCATTTCCTACCAAGTTTAGGGAAGGAAGAAATTTTTGAACGCAAAGCAAGATGTTTCAATGACAGAGAATTGAAACACCAGCATTGCAATGCGACATAAGCTTTCAATTCTCAATATATGTATAACCAGAAAAGCTCATGCGAGAGCAGATGCTTTCAAACCATAGCCAGTTTCCGTATTAA